AAAAAAAAAAAAAAAAAAATTGGCATTCTTGTTATACGTGACGGGGTGTCTATTTTAGCTACCTTTCTGTGTGCGTGTGGGAAAGGGGTGGTACTGGTGGAATCTCGTTAATGTCTCCTTATTGTTCACTGTTTGTTGTGTATTCATTTGTAGCGCAAGTATCTGTCCCTTGATCTGAGGTGGTTTCTCTCTCTGACCCAAACGAACCACTGCTTTTCATGAATCCATCTGTTTATAAAAGAGTCCATCCACAAATTGAACAACACATGTTTGTCGCTCTTCCACTTTGACCAGATGTTAGATCTGTTTTCTCTTATATGTTGTTCCTTCATCATTACCCAACTGTTCCACTGGACCATTTCTTTGTTCAATCTTTCTCTCCAATTGAGCCAGCTGGTTCTGTCTTGCACGTTAGGATTTTTGGCCCAGGACTCTTCCCACTTGGACCAGTATTCGTCTTCTTCACATTTCCAGTCGGTCATAATCCATGTCACAATTTTTTGGTTTTTCCATTTGAGCCATTCTTTAACACTCCATACATCTAAATAGGATTCATTATTTGTAATCCAGTTTCTTAAATCTCTCTCCATTAAATCTTTTCCTTCAGTTTTGATCCATTCTTTCCATTCTTCTTCATCTAGGGTTAGCGATTTTTTCAGTATGTCTGATTTGACATCTCTTTCTAGGTCTACATTGTAGTGCATCCATTTATTGTCCATGAATTGTATAAATTCCTCCCAGTCCTTTTCCTTTGCATTAATCCATTTTCCCTTTTCTCTTTCAATTGTGTTGTTGAAATCTATCCACTCTCCTTCCAATTTATGCATCCAGTTTTTCCATTCATTGTCTTTCCACTCTTCTGTTCTTCCTAAATACCTTGGGTGGTACTCGATGGCAGGTGTGGGGTTAAATTGTAGGCTGGGTACATTTGTTGATGGGCGTGTAATATTGCTTAGGAGGACAGAAGTTGAAGAGAATAGATACATGAGTGAAGACATGATGGAGGACAAGAAATTACTTCCGCTGCTAGTGCTATTGTTGTTTGGTAGCATATTATATGAGCCTCTGCTCCTTCCCATTAGTTGTGGTCCTTGTGGGTTGTACATTTGATTCCTCATCTGATTAGGCATATTTCCATATGAGTAACTCGGGGAAAAGGGAGAGGAAATGCCATTGGGGGGGGACATGTGTGTTGGGTAACCGTAGTTCATTTGCCCATTATAACTATTTGTATGTGGGTACATGGGAGACCAGTTGTGTGATTGTGTATTTGAACCATCTAGTGGAGTGAAGGTTGGTGTTGAGGACGGAATGGATATTTGTGGGTTGGGCTGACTATCATATGTGGGCATATCAGATGAGGGGCCATCGTTGGTTGTAGGTTTTTCAGACAGCGTATATGTGGACGTAGTGATAGGATCGGACATGTTGGGTGCTGATGGTGTTGTTTGGGTTTCTGTTGGTGCGCTTGGGGTTGTGCTCGGCACGTAATCATACACTTCTTTATAGTATGGCTCCATTGTTGGTTGAGTGGGGGGTGCGGTGTGGGTTATTGCGTAGTGATTGGAAAGGTGCTACTCGTATTATGATTCCGTCGTTTCTTTAACAAAATGTATTTGTGATGCTAAAGGAAGGCAAGCACAGAATAGAAATTGACAAGTGAATGATTTTTGTACCTTGCTTAATATTGCGAGTGACGCATTATAATAGGCATACACCTTCGCTGGTTATATCCTCCAATGATGAAAAATAGTGCACATGAAAATGTTATTTTATTTTATTTTTTTTTTTTGCTTACACTTGGATATACGTATTGTTAGGATATGCTCCTGCTGATATAACTACTTGAAGTCATAAAATTGGTGAATTGTTTTTTCTTTAGTGTTTGGAATGTGGCCAACATATATATGTACAAAATATGTTGTATAAAAGCTGGTACATGAGTAAATACACCGTTACGGAAAATTTGTATAAATATATATATTTTTTTTTTGTGCTTCGTAAAATTCACATAATTATATATTAAATTGATCAGGTTTATTATTTCACATACATACATACATATATATACATATTTATGTAGTGTATTTGTGCATATATGCTAAAGTGAGAAGGTTAATAAAAAAAAAAGTGTACTTTGTTGTAAAATCTCCTTTCTCCAGAAAAATATTAATTTCCCTTTTTTTTTTCTTTTACTGTTTCATAGATTCGATTCTATATGTGAATATTTTTTAGTTGCTAAAAATATGAACATGTTCAGAAAAATAAAACTTAAGGAAAAATTAAACGAGCAAGTATTTTATTATTGTTTGCATTTTTTGGTAATGTATACTTTTGAACGAATTTTTTTTTTGTACATGTGATTAAAAAACATTGATTTAATAAAAATAAATAAGAACAGCAAAAAAGTGAATTTTTATATTTTTATGTGAAAAGAAAAAAAAATTACATTGCACAGAGGGGAACAGTTTCGTATTTTTTTTCATATGTTCTCCTTTTTTTTTGGAAAAAGAAGGGGAAAAAAGTAAACGTGCGGATACACGGGGAGATTTGAACACATTGATCTTTTTGCTTGTTTGTCGTCTTCTGTTTTTGCATTTTTTATTCCACTGGGAGAAAATGATGAAGAAGAAGAAGAGGCGGTACTATTTTTATTAAACTTATCATGCCAAAATATATATTTATAAAAAATAATGTAACCTGCGGTGAATATTCAAAAGTGTAAATTGCAAAAAAAAAAAAAAAAAAAAAAAAAAAAAAAAATGCGCATTTACATACATTTTTTACATGCACATGAAAAAATACGTTCATGTATAGATAATATGTAGCTATTTATTTTATTCTGTTGCGCAAGTCGTGTTTAAGCAAGAACCTTTTTTTTTTTTTTTTTAAATAATTATGTATTATTTTTTTTTCACATTTGTATTGCAATTTTATTCCATTTTAATATGACAATTTTTAAACAATAGAGAGAACAATGTGACGGCATAAGAAATTAAACAAAAAACAGGTCGTCTCACAATTTGCTGGCCTTTATTTTATGTTGCTAAATTCCTTTATTTTAATTCCTTCGTGTGCCACATTTGGAAAATGCATTGTATTATTTTTTCACATTTATTCAAATTTCTGCATTTTCCATATTTCTGATTAAGGCATAGCAAAATAAGTTAGGGGTACCTCGTTTTAGCACACTTGCAGGGATGGATATAAATTGCGATGTGGCATTATTTTTTTATGCACAGTTGGAAAAGTGTATTTGCATGTGGAGAACACGCAATATTCCTATCATTATATTTTGACGCAACAGGAGTAGCATATGTAGCTAGCAGTAGTAATTATTTCTTCTAGTCGTAACATCCCCTAATGCCTAGCGCGCCTGCAATGAGTAATATATTTATTCACTCACAAAAAACAGGTTGTTGTTCCCACATCAAGGAATGGTATATATAACAATATATTACGCACAGATCTATTTATACTATACATATATGCAACAAAAAAAAAAAAAAGCTTAATAATTGCCCCACTTACACGATTTCTGGCGAGGTTAAATTTCCCGTTTGGGTGGAAAATAAGGTTTTTTTTTTGAATAAGCAACTTTTTTTTTTTTTTTTTTATGGAGGGGGATTACCCAAACATGCTTCCGCTAAGCTAAATGACAAAAGGATCCTAATAAAATGGTATGTACAAGGTGGCCTATTAGTTTGGTCAAGGAAAGCACAGAGTTAATTAAACGCTTTGAATAATAACGTTAATAAATACGGTAGCCCGGCTCAGGAGACTATCCCTAGAGAAGGGGCAAGCATGTGTATTAAGTTCTTAACAGGGGGGCGTAGCCTGTCGCAATTGTAAATCAAAAAAAAAATAATTTCCTTGAGGAACATATTCCTGCACACAAGAGGGGATTATTTCGTTTTGTCTCCCTTATTCCAATCGTACAAACATTTATGCATATTTTTAAGCACTATTTATATATGCATCACTTTTTTGGGGGGCGGCGAAAAAGGTTTATGCGGTTGTAGCTGCATGCTGTTCATTTGTATGTGTAAAAAAGTAGGTGTTGATATTGATTGTAGGGTGCGCAAAATTGACAAATTATTATGTTAGCTTTACACGTGTAGTCGCACATATGCAATTAAGGACAATTCGACATACAATAAAAGTGCGGCACGAAAAGCAGAAGCATCAAGCGCTAATGTACATGTACGTCTTTGCACATTGCCCGGAGGGATAAAAAAAAAAAAAAAAAAAAAAAAAAAAAAATTAAAAAAAAAATAAAATGAAGAATTGACAGTATCAGTTGAAACTTTGTTGTATGTCGTCTTATGAATACCATTTTGGTAAAACAATAGTGGTTTGTGGAGAGTGATTCCCGTCAACTACATTACATGGCGTATAAACAAGCCTCGTACGGACAGGCCCACATGAATGCAAAATGTGAGGAGAGTTCCCAAGGAGTACTTTAAAAATTGTGCTTGTGATACTGTGCCCCTTGAGGAAAATACTCGAATATGATTCATAATATAGCTGTTTTTTTTTTTTTTATATAAGTTGTACCAAATGGCACATGAGCTTCAGTTTTGTAATATTGTAGCATATGGAACACATTTTATATCCGTCTTCTGGCAACAGCACCCAATTTGACATCACACAAAAAAAGGATTTCTTTTTTGGAATTTTTTTTTCATTTTGTGCTTTGATTAACCTTGTTGATCGCTTCTGTTCATTCGCGCAGCTGGGCAGATAGGCAGTTTTCGCACAGCAGCGCTAGTGTCCGCATGTCACACAAGACAATGACATACACGAAACAAAAAAATAAAATAAAAAAAAGGTAAAAAAAATTAAATACAGTGATAAGGCTGAACAAATAATTACAAAGTACAAACATGGAAGTATAAAGAACTTCACGCGGCTAATAACTGTTGAAGATGGTTGCTGGTTGCTCCGTGCTAGTGGTCTGCATGGAGTTATTCTTCCAACGCTTTTCCTTAATCCATTTGTTTATACATGATTCCATCCACTTGTTAAACAAAAGGTAATTGTTTTTTTTCCACTGAGAAAATTTTCTGTCTTCATTATCAAGGTATTGTTTTTCTTTTTTTTCTACCCAGGAGATCCATTGTTCTGTTTCTCTGCTGAGTCGATCTTTCCACTGTGACCATTTTCTCCTTTCATTAATACACAACCATTTTGACCATTTGTTTTTTTCCCACTCATCCCAATATTGGTCTTCCTTGCATTTCCAGTCTTTCATAATCCACTCCATAATTTTATTATTTTTCCATTGAATCCATTCCTTGACCAACATTACATCTACATAGGATTCACTCTCTGACATCCACTCATTCCAGTCCATTTCCATAAGGTCTTTTGCTTCTGTGTTTATCCAATACTCCCATTCATCATCTGTCCACTGGTCTGTGTTTTTATAAATACCAGAGTAGTATTCTGAACCCATATTTTGGTTATAACAATTCCATTTATCTTCCATTGATTTTATCCATTCTCCCCATTCTAGTTCTCTTTGAACTAGCCATTGTTCTCGTTTATGTTCTAAAGAGGTTGTGAATAAGTCAGCATCTTTGTCTAACTGTGACATCCATTGTTTCCACTCATTTGCTTTCCATTCATCCGACTTTGCATTTTCTTTCTCCTTTTCTTTCTCCTTTTCTTTCTCCTTTTCTTTCTCCTTTTCCTTTTCCTTTTCTTCTTCTTTGTTGTTCGTCTCTTTTGGGGTACCTTGTTTCTTTTTCACTTCTTTTTTGGTGGGCTGTGTGGGGGGGAGGTGCAGGTGCAGGGCAATAGGGTTGACATGTATTATGGAACAAGCAGAAATGTTGGGGGTATTTTTCCTGTACGCGCACCACTGCGAACGAGTCGAGACATGTGCATTCTCGTTTAGGCTAATTTGATGGGCAACAAAAAAAAGAACAGAAAAGTACAGCAAACAGGTAGCAGCGTGTACACGTGCTTTATTCTAATATCACATTTTTGG